TAGCCCAATTGTACAGAGTTAATGACATGTTCAGCATGTGACCTTAACAAGCTAAAGGTTCCAGTTGGAGAAGACCAACTGACCTGAGTGAGGCTGCAAGGAGCCGAGGCTGTTCAGGTTGGAGCATTGACAGCAGTAGATCGACTGGAGCATTTGGAACCAATCATTGTTGAATTATTCCATATATTATAAGATCTACTGGAGGTAATGTGGAATAAACTTATTAAACAGAATAAATGCAATTGTGTGTTCCTAATACAATGTATACATTAAAATATTTAGAAAACTTATGATGTGTGACTGGAAAGCTTGTATATATATAATAAAAAAATTGCTGGACATAATCAAAACTCAAGTACTCATGTACTATAAATTGTATTTCTTCAAAGAAGTCTGAACATATTGAGTTTTTTAGTTGCCAGTGTTTTGATAGACAAATTTTTGAAATATCTAAAAGCTGTCTGTCTGTACCACAAGATGTACGTGAGTGTCCAAATACATTTGCGATGGCGCGTCGTCCGTCAACTTTTCCTATAAATCGCTACTTGTCATAAACGACCGAGCGGATTTTGTCTAAATTTGGTCAGAAGCATCCTTGGGGGAAGGGAAACTAATTTTGTATAAACGGTGGGTCTGGCCCCCAGGGGCCTGAGAGGTGGAGCCCAATAAGGGAAATATAGCAAATTCTTTAAAATCCTTCTTCTGTAAGAATGAAAGAATTTGTTCCATATATATGGTCTGTATTAACGTTGGATATTGGCCTGAGGGGTTGGTGACAAATATAGGAAAAATAGCAAATCTTTCAATGCCTTCTTCTGAAGAAATGAAGAGTGTTTCTCCATATTCACTGCAATATCCAGATGAGCAATACAGACCCTCTGGGCCTCTTATTACATATTTTCCACGTTCAATTCATTTGATGTTGTGTCATACCTATTTGTATTCATCATTTATTGATTATTTTCAGTGTTGATGAGCCGTTAAGAATGTAATAATAATAATTATATTGTGGAAAGATCCTGCCGAGCTCGAGGTGTGCCGAATGACTCTTAACGTACAAGTGATTCTACAAAACCACCAGTGGTGGAGACAAAGGCACTCTGTTCAATTGAAAGTTAGCCATTGAACGGAGCAACATAAATGAAAGGTCAAAGGCCGGTTTGAGGTACCTGTATAATACTACAATCATATTTATGCCCCTGGATTGAAAGGTTGGTGTATAAAGATATTAGATTGTCTGTCTTTTACGGTTTGTTTGTCTATCAATATCACAAACTGAAACTTCTTTTTTAACTTAAACCTTGACCTTTACTTCTTCAGTTGAATACATAAAGACCTAATACTTGACACTTAAATAATAAAGCCCTTTTATGTAATGGAGGAGCAAGGTGGATGGGTTTATTGGGATCAAAATGATATATTAAATATGGTTTTATAGCAGCCGGTACGTGGCAGCTACATACAATGTATACATACATGTACATCCCAGCACCAGATACATGTATTATAATTAATTGAGATATTTTGACCTGAACACCCCAAACCCTATCCAGGCTAGTTCCAG